GATCTTGCATTTCCCACATGTTCTTGCTTTCAGAACTTTGCACCCAGTTTTCTCAAGCTGGTATCCAGCCATCCTTCCAACTATTCAATACATCTACTGTCATCAACTTTATTTTGGTACTGGGTATTGTACCCAGGGGCACTTAACCACTGAGCCACATCCCCAGCTCTTTTTCATATTTTATTTAGAGATAGGGTCTCACTGAGTTACTTAGGGCCTCGCCAAGTTGCTGAGGCTGGCTTTGAACTCACCATTCTCCTGCCTCAGCCCCCAGAGCTGCTGGGATTACAGGTGTGTGTCACTGCGCCCAGCTATTCTCATCAACTTTTGCCAGAAATTTCACTAAGTGCCAGGGATCCAAAGATGTATGAGATGTGTGCCCTCAGTGCATGCAGCGTCTAGTTAGGGAGACAGACACATGAAAGGACGATGATGACACAAGGTAAATAAGTGCAGTGACAGAGAATGAGACCCAAATCTAGCCTGGGCTCTTCCCCTCCTGGTCCTCTGGAGCTTTACACCTTCTTCTTGATTTGGTCAGGCTCTTTCATGTCCCTACATCCTGCACTGACCCACTGGAGGGGGAGAGTCTGCCTGTCTGCCTCCTCTTGAGCACATAAAGGCAGAGAACAATTTGACTCTTGCCTAGGATCCAGTGCTCAAACGACCCCCCCACACACATCCTCAGGACTGGGGGAATGAAAGAGCTTGAGGAGTGAAGAAGTCAAAGTACCCTCTTCCTGGATTACTTCCTGATGCTCCCCCAGATTCTGCCCTGCATATGCTTTCTTTCTGAGATTGGCTCAGGCCCCGTTGGAGCTGGGCCCTGTGGGCAAGGCTGGGCTGCTCCTTTCATCCTTATTTCAGGAGCAGAAGGGGCCTTGCCACAGTGGGTTCCCAGATGCCCCCCACCCCCAGTCAGCTTGGACTGCCTGCCTCAGGATCCTGAGGAATGAGCAGTATCCTGGGCAGCTCTAGTTTAGGGAGGCAGAGAGAGAAAGCCCTGCAAGAGCCCTCAGGGCTCTTGGGTAGCCAAAGAAGGTATTGGGGTAGTCTAGGAATTCCTGCAGTTCCAAGCCCCTTTTCTCACCTCTGGACTTCTGGATCCCTAGACACCGTGATGGAGGGTTTTAGAAATAAGTAACTCTGGGATGGTCTCAAACTAGTAACTGTGGGATGGGAATATTCCAGAAAGCCTTAAAGGTTCTGGTAACAGCTCAGGCCAGCCCCTTGGACTCTCACTGGGTTAACACATTCCTTCTCTCCATAGGCAGAGCACCTTTCTCCTAGGCAGACTACTTGGAAGCTCTGGCCCCACCCTCTGCTCCTTGCCTCAAAGTCTGGGCTAGTGGTGACTCTGCAGAGCTGGGGCTGGGGATGGAGGGTCTTGGGGGATAGTGCAAACAGCTTTGGACAAGGGTGGGAATTTCCACTCCTATCTAGAGAGCCATCAACACTATGTGCCCTGACCTGGGCCTTTGGCCTCCAAAGGGCAGTGGGAAGGCCGGCCCCAGGGCCAATCCCTGGCCATTAATCCCTCCTGCCAGCCCGAATATCCACCCAGTGTGGTCAGACAAAGGACGGCCCAGCCCAGCCACTGTGTTCCTCCCGCCCCAGGGGCTCCACTCAGACGTTGGGCCGCCTGGAATCCAGGCCCATGAGAAAGGGGCCGCCTTCACTGGCCATCTTATGCCCGGATGCTCAGCCGCATCACGTCCGGCCCAGGGCCTGTGAAAAGAGGGCCCAGCCACGCTGAAAACGCGGATTAGCCCTTGGGCCGCCCCCTGACACTGGACTGCTTGGCTCTGGGAAGCAGGCCCAATGGAGGGGGCCAGACAGTCACAAAGAACTGGAAGAGTCTGGGTTCTCATCCCTTTGGCCCTGCTCCCTGCCCCCACCCTCCTCAGGATTAGTTTAGTCAATGGCACATTCAATATCATTTATTGAACATATACTATGTCTCAGCCTGTCATGGGTGGAAAATTGAAAGTATAAGAAAATTACAGTTGGCTATGGGAGGTAATAAAATTCACTTTCCCCCATGACCCTTCACTTTCTGAAGGTATGAGACAGGGGATTCATCCTTAGGGAGAGTAGGAAAGGAAGCATCGGCCCTGGCTCTCTTCACCGAGTCTAGCTGCAGGGATATGCTGCACCTGACTGAAAAGATGCCCTGCTTTTCTTCCTGTGCTCCTGCTTACTGGAAATGCCAGTTGTGTAGTAGAATAAGAATTTCTTTCCATATGGGCCAGGCATTTTTTAACACAGTCTCATAACAAAACTGAGAAGAGACATTATCACTTTTATTTGGCAAGTAAGGAAACTGAGGCTCAAATGAAAACTGGCTCTAAGTCACTCTGCCCTTGGAGCTAGACTCCCTGCTGCTGCAGTTGCTTATTTTGCCTCTTCTCTGGGGATCTGTTTGGTATGACGGAGTTTCCCTGAGTTTGATAAGGCCTGGGCTCAGGCAGCAGAATGCAGTGTGGGGAGGGTACTGGAGAAGGACCTGTTGGAGCACCATTGTGGTGAGTGGAGTAAATGTCATCTCCTTCCTCTCTGCTTCTCCAGTTCCCAGCCCACCCCTCTCCCAGCTGGTAATTGTCCATGTCTCCACTAGGTTATAAGTCACATCATCTCTGTCTTGCCCTGAGCATTCCCAAACAGCCTGGCCCAGAATGTAAAGGCGATCTATCTGTGACCTCTAGCACCCCAATTGATCACTAGGGTTGATTCAGTTGATCTGGCTGGCTAGGTGGGTGTCTCCTTCCTCCCTCTTCACTCCACATGCATCCCTCCCAAAGCTGCATGATTGGTCAAAGAGGATGACCTTCTGATAAGGGAAGACCACTGATAGAGGACAGGTCTTCCAACAAGGGTGTAGGAATAGCTATTTCCCTGCTAGAACCTCCAAACAAGCTCTCAAGGTCTAAAGGACCTGGCTCAGAAGTACTCAGTGAATGATGCAGGCTGGCCTGAGCCTATGAGAACTGAAGGAGGGATAGTCTTGGGATCCATGTGGCACAGATAGGACTTGGCAGTGGCCTGGATATAGAGACCGAGGCAGGAGGCAAAGGAGGTGTCCATGTGTTGAGATCTGGAATGATGCTGGCAGAAGAGTAGGCTGGGATTGGAGGGTGTTCTAATTTACTGAGAGAAGCATTTCATTTAGGAAACCGGGATTCAGATGCCTTGAGACATCCATGTAGTGATGTCTAATGGGCACCTAGATATGCTGACCAGGTCAGTGAACCAACTTGCAGCTGCAGTGGGGGTGGGGAGCTGAAGGAATTACTAAATAAATTACTAAATTTATTTCTAAAGTTTCTGCTTTAAAGGATGGTGCTAGGAGAGTGGTGGCACCAGTGCTCTGACTTCTGCCATTACTAGTTATTATGTGAGGTTAACCTCTCAGTTTTCTCATTCACATAATAACAAAATAATAACACCTCACAGGTATGCTCAAATGTAAATGAAATAATAATGTATTTAAAGTGTTTACTAAATACAAAATGCTCAGTAATGGTATCTGGGTTTTTACTGCTACTGAAATGAGAGGCCCTTTGAGCTCCAGCCTTGTTTGGATTTTGACACTTTGAGCCACAGGCAACCTGAAGCTAGCTATGGTCATCTGTAGAAAGGTAAGGCACACTACATGGGAACTGAATTAGGGTGGGGCAAATGAGTCCCCAGATGGCAGTAGGCCCTGGCTTTCAAGAGCTGATCCTGCATTTGCAAGACCTTGAGAGTGAGTGCTCCTTAAACTTAGCGCTATAGGCGCCTCATTGTACACTCAGCCCTCCAAGTTCCTTGATCTTGTCTGTCGACAAAGTGATTTAGGACAGGGCTCCTTCATTCTTTGGTTCTCTCTAAATGATAGTGGTGGGTGGTATTGCCCAGACTGAATTTTTAACAAAACTGCCTAAACTCCCTATCCCACAATGAGTCAAGAGTGTGATGTCTCAGGATCAGAAAGCCTCTCAGATCTTCAATCTAATAGAAGCTCTTGGTGGGGGTCTGTCTCCCAACTGGTAACTGTTTTTTGGAGCTCTGGAAGCTTTGCAGAGCTGTTTGTGGCTTTCTGTGTAGGTGCTGGGGGTGGGGTGGGGTGGGGAAGAGAAGGGGAACAGTTTCCTTGAACAGGAGAGGTGTGGAGATCTGTAGTCCAAAGGGCATCTCCAACTGTGTGATTTTTAAAAAATTTTTTAATTTTTTAGTTATAGGTGGACACAATGTCTTTATTTTACTTTATGTGGTGCTGAGAATTGAACCCAGTGCCTCAAGCATGCTAGGCATGCTAGTTCTACCTCTGAGCCACAACCCTAGCCCCCGCACCAACTGTGGGGTTTGAGGAGCTCTTGATTTAAAACAGTTGGATCATTTTTTACTATTTTTTCAAAGAAGGCTCACAAGGCCTGCAGCAAGGACAGAATAGGGAGTATGTGGGGGAGGGAGCAGAGAGAGGAGATGGTGACCCTGATCTGGGGTCTTAAGATATTCTTCCCAGAGCCCTTTTCTGTGACCTTTGCCCTGGTTCCCTACTGTCCAACCATGGCCTGAGGCCTCCCTGAGCAGCCACACAGGGCACTGTGGGCTGGCAAGACTTCTTTTATCCCAGATTCAGCTAGGGATGGAAGGACCTGAGCATGGAGGGGATCTGACTGTGGGGAGGGAGGAGCAAAATGGGGAGAGGGCCAGGAGAGTGCGCTGAATGGGTGGATTTGTGATTGGGATTGACCCAAAGGGGAGGGGGTAGAGGGAGGGGTGGTAAGGGAAGGGGCTGATCAAATACCATGGGTTGGGGCTAGGGCCTCGATGCTGACCCAATGGAGACAGGGAAGGGATGAGGCAGGGTCTGGGAAAAACTGACCCCAAGGGATGAGACTGAAGGAGGGGCGAAATTGAGGGGGCTGTGAGCACAGTAAGGGGGCTGTGAGCACAGTAAGGGGGCTGGGAAAGCAAATTAGAGGGGAGGCTCAGGCCAACAGGGAAGGTCCGAGCCCTCTCCCCTGGTGGGGAGGGGGCTCTGTCCATATAAGGCAGGTCTGCGGCCCCTGCTCTCCCCAACGCGGGCAGGGTCTGCCACATCCTGATGACCGGGCGCAGCAACATGGATTCGCCTGCCGCTTTCTCGGGCTTCCCAGCCCTACCCTCCGTCGCGCCGTCGGGGCCGCCGCCGTCGCCGCTGGCCGGAGCCGAGCCCGGGCGGGAGCCCGAGGAAGCGGCGGCGGGCGGCGGGGAAGCGGATCCCACGCCCGCGCCGGGCCCGGGGCGGCGGCGGCGGCGGCCCCTGCAGCGCGGGAAGCCGCCCTACTCGTACATCGCGCTCATCGCCATGGCGCTGGCGCACGCCCCGGGCCGCCGCCTCACACTGGCCGCCATCTACCGCTTCATCACCGAGCGCTTCGCCTTCTACCGCGACAGTCCGCGCAAGTGGCAGAACAGCATCCGCCACAACCTCACGCTCAACGACTGCTTCGTCAAGGTGCCCCGAGAGCCGGGCAACCCGGGCAAAGGCAACTACTGGACGCTCGATCCCGCAGCCGCCGACATGTTCGACAACGGCAGCTTCCTGCGGCGCCGCAAGCGCTTCAAGCGCGCCGAGCTGCCCGCGCATGCGGCTGCGCCGCCGGGGCCCCCGCTGCCCTTCCCCTACGCGCCCTACGCGCCCGCGGGCCCCGGGCTGCTCGCCCCGCCACCCGCCGCGCCTGGGCCCGCACCGCCCGCGCGCCTCTTCAGCGTCGACAGCCTGGTGAGCCTGCAGCCCGAGCTGGCGGGGCTGGGCGCCCCCGAGCCGCCCTGCTGCGCCGCGCCCGACGCCGCCGCCTTCGCGCCCTGCGCGGCCGCTGCCTCGCCGCCGCTCTACTCGCAAGCTCCCGACCGCCTGGGGCTGCCCGCGACGCGCCCCGGTCCTGGCCCGCTGCCCGCTGAGCCCCTTCTGGCCTTGGCCGGACCGGCCGGTGCCCTCGGCCCGCTGAGCCCCGGGGAGGCCTACCTGAGGCAGCCGGGCTTCGCGCCGCCGGGGCTGGAGCGCTACCTGTGAGCCTCTCCCAGAGCAAGAGCTCCTGTAGTCACCCTCCCTCCGGACTAGAGTGTGCCTTGTGGGCGGCCGCGTCGCGGTCCCCACCACCCTCCCGCTTGGGGCGCACCTCTAAGGCCCCATCTTTGCCTTCTGAATTGAACACATCTGCAGAATCCTTCGCTGTCCTCCACCCCCGGGGAGACTCCCTCCATCTCGACACTGGACTGAATGTCCCCTCCAACTTGTGAGCCCTTCATATCTTTTCCCTCCACTTATGAACTCCCATCTTTGCATCCCCACAGCGCTGTGGGTCCCAGGGAGCTGGACTCCCACCAGCGAGGTGCCCCAGGTGTCTTGGTGAGTTCCAAGCCACAGGAACCTTTGGTCTCAAGCTGCCTCAACTGACTCTACCTGGTCATCCTCCTTTCATGTTTTGTCAGTACATTAGAGGTCAGACTGCTGGGTTCGTTACTTGTCCCTTACTCACCACCAATTACCTATTTGTCCTCTGTTTCTCAACTCCCCTTTCCAGACAGACATACCTGACGGCCTATTCCAAGCCCTGAGGACAGTTCTTGGAAATTTCTGAGTCAAGCAGCACCAGGGGCTCCTGACTGAAAGGGGAATTAGTGGGCCTTTATGTCTGTCCTACCCACTGGAAAGCATAGGATTTATCAGGTTATTATTTTTTAATTAAAGCTGGTTTAATTAAAAAGTAAGAAGAACCCTTTCACTGGGCTTGGTGTGTTGGTGGTGACTTGGTGTGCTGGCTGGAATGTTTGGGGAGGACAGTGGGTGAGTTTCACACCTTGGGATGCCACAGGGGGTGAACCCTCTTGTGAATCATCAGAGGTTCATGAAGTGCAGAAAGGAGGTGCCCTAGCTGTGCACATCTGCCTAGTCTTCATCATCTACGTCTCAGCCTAGTAGAGGTGAGATGGGGTTGCATGGGTGTTTGCATGCTTATATGAGTGCATTTGGGCAACAGGGTGGCCTGCTCTTTGGCATCCGCCCATAGATAAGGGAGCATTGACCTTCATTCACTCCTCCAAGTGAATCTTTAATAATGTGTTAAGCACTGTGCTAGGCACTGTGGATACATCACTGAACGAATGGGCAAAAACTGCCTCAAAAACTGTGTAGATTAATGGGGGAAAAGACATTAATTATCACTGCTGTGAGAAATGAGATAAGTGCTCTAGAGCCTTGTGTTTAAAGTGTGTCTATGGACCAACAACATCACCTGGAAGCTTCTTAGAAAATCAGGATTTCAGGCACCACCTCAGACCAACCCATGGAATCATCAGATGTTGCATTTTAACAAAATTCCCAGATGATTAGTATGTGCACTAAGCTAGAGGAAAGGCACCAGTCTCAGGCTGAATGCTCAGTTTAAAAGATTTAAGAAGAGTGAGACTTCACAGACCACACCACCCTTCTGAACCTCACTTCTGGAGCAGGGCATGCATTGTAGGCTGTGCCTACTATTTTACCTCTTCTGCTGAATTGAGGTGCAGCAGCATTGATCTGAGCTGATTCATGACTGACCCAGCACCAAGGACAGGGCAGTATGGAGCAGGATACTCAGAGGTTAAAGTTTGAGAGAGGGAGCTGGCCTTTGACCCTGTTCTGCTCTTTGGTGCTTACCCAAATGGTAAGCAGCAGGCTTTGCCAAGCTTTCTGTCCAGGGCTCCTGGTCTAGTAGAGCCTGGATTAGGGATAGGGAGAATAGAGGATGGTTTGTCTTGAACCCAGGGTAAATATGATTTGTTTGTTGGATGTGCCTGATGCACCTCTTCTAAATACCACTGTTAGAAGCTGTGGGGTGGTGGTGGAGGGTGAGAGCGAACAGTGAGCAGCTCATAAAGGGGAAAGGTACAGGGAATCTAGGAAGGAGGAAGGCTCTCTTTGGAGGTAGGGCAGTAGGTATGCCCAGTGCAGTAGAAAGTGCCCTGTTACACACCCTTTCCCCCAACTGTTAACTGCTTTGAGCAAGGGTTAGATCCAATTTGCCTGATGTAGAGCAGCCTTTCACTTAATATTTGTTGAATGGTTGACTGAACAAATGAATTCCTAGGGTCTAATACTGTGCCCAACTTACCAAACAATGACTAAGTGGGCTGTATACAGATTGACACTTTTTTTTTTCTTTTGTCCATTGTTACTTACAGTCCCCACAGTGACTTGTGTAAAAGTCAAAAAGAGGAGACAGAGGTGGAAGAAGAGGCAATTTCCTCACTTGTCAGTTGAGGAGACTGCACCTCCCTGGGCTCAGTATGCAGCAGAAAATCCAGTCTTGCGTTTTCTAAACAGAGATCCACAGAGATCAAAATGCAAACTTTCTGCTTCAAATGATATTTCAGTCCCTCTTCCTACCTCAGAGGACCTGTTTGTTGATAAATTTCTCCCGAATTCAAGAAATTCCCAGGGAAGGGAAGGACCTTCTCACTGTCCTGAAGTTGGAGAGTGCTTCCTGATCTCTGAATTCCATTATTGTCATCACTTCATGGTCTTAGTTCCAGGATCTTTGACCACTCAGAGGACAAGGAGACAATATTTGTAGGGACATTCTAGAAAGGCAACTGCTGAACTGGAAAGTCAGAAACTTTTTTATTTTAAAATGCCTCCTGAATTTTTCTTTATTCACCAACATCAAGGGCTGACTGTATGCCAGGCTCTGTGTCCATTTGTGAAGCCAATAGAAATACAAATAAGAGACTCTTTATGTTCTCAGAGAGTTCATAGTTGGAAAGCTATATGTCATTTGGCACATGTGAAAAAAATAAAAAACAAAACTTAACCAAACTCTTTCTTTAAAGTCACCATTTTTTGTCTATTAGTGAGATTTCAACATTCTTTCTCCTTTTGGGTGAAAAAATAGTCTAAATGAAAACTTCAGAATTGTTTAATAGATCCTTGCCTCTTCATTCTTATAGAAACCTTTAAGTCATTTTATTCTAAAGACACATTTTAAATGCTTAACTTTAATTTTTATTAAATTTAAAGAAGCCCATAATCTAACAAGTCAAATAATAATCAAAGGCTTACAGTGGTGTCTTACCCCACTCTTAGGAAACCTGCATTTCCCCCCACTCATAGGAAACCTGCATCTTCCCCTATATATCTACTTTCAATTCGTATTTGTTTCTTATGGAATATACTTCCATATCTCCATGCTTATACTCCTCTCTCTTGAAACAGTAATGATTTAACTTTCTATTATGATAGAGAATATTTACCTCTAAAATGTCTCTCTCTTCCCATTTCTACCTATATCACCAACTTTTGGTTAATTCAGTTCTTAGTACTTACATTATTACTACTGTATAAATATTATTCTTTGGTAAGTTACTAGTGGACCATGATCACAACTCCTTTCTTTGGGGATGCAACTTTTTATTTTTCCTGGAATTAATAATGCCTTGGGATTTTTTATTTGCTCAGCTTCCTTTATACTTACTGCTAAATCTTCTCATACCTTCTGATAGCACGGTGGTACACTTTTTTTTGTGAGTCAAACTTATTATGAAATTCATCACTCCTTTTAGTTGCATGCTTTTGCCTTCCTGGAGACATCTCTCCCAGATCCCTCCATCCTCCAGTTCCAGTCTGTACTGACAGCTTTCCATGTCTGCTGCACAGATGTGGACCTGGAATTCCCTCCATCTCTGTTCTGTATTGAATCTTCTGCTTCCTGGATCCCATATCTTCCTTTTTCTTGGTTTATTTCCTTGTTCCAGCAGAGGTAAATTGTTTTGGAAACTGCACATCTGAAATAAGATGATTGTTTTAGCATGAGAAGCAAAGCATGCATTTTGACTTCGAAATAATTGAGTCAAAACTGTGTTTCTGTAGACTTTTATGGAGGAGACTGGGGAACAGGAGAATTGGAAGTATTTTCTCAGCTTAGTATGCACTTCCTCCAAGGAAGCTGGGAAGGTAGCTCAGTGTTAAGGTAAGTGGGTAGGAGGATGAAGGGGGGGATGCTTTGAGAACTCCTTATAGAAGGAGAGCTGACAAGAAAAGCCCTGAGAGAAGGCTGTGACCTAACTTCAGGTAATTGTACCATTGGATGCTACCTTTGGGCCCAAGATGATGCTGAGTTTGTTTGAGGACCTTCTGAGTCCAGCACATGAAAGAAGGCAACATCACCTTGGCACATGGAAGCATGAGTATATTGGAAAATGACACCTTTGGTAGGGACACTGACAATGATGACAACAGAAAGGCTCCTTCAGGCATTTTTCAGACCTCTGGGCACCTGGGAATGCAGGCAATTACCTGGGAAAGAATAATGAGTAATGTGGAGAGCCCTCCATTGTAGTAACTGGGTTGTTTCAAGCCCATGTGAAGTAACTCTATGAGAGTTCCTGGAAGTATGGGGACAGAGGTAAGATAAAGGAGGTTAATAGGGTCTACTTTAAAGGAAAAAAATGTGGACCTCTAGTATTGACTTTAAATTTTATTATAATGTCACTTAGTATGTGTAGGTATAAATTCCTTAAGTTTCTACTTTTTATGTAACTGTTAAACATTATTATCAATTAAATTCAAACAGAGCAACAGAATAAAAATTCAAGTTCACAGCATTACTCAAATGTAAAAAAAGATACTGTTTTGCTGAAACTAAATCACTTGCACTCTAAATGTGGTGTTGATTTCTCTATAGCAGATCTTTTGGGGTTGGAATGTCTTGACTAAATTCATCCACCATTTTTTTTTTCTTTTCAACGAACTGGAACTATTCCTTCCATCACCTGGCCCAAATGCAACATTTATTTATAAAATCTACATGTATTGCCCCATATCACTTCATAATAAGTGCAAATGAAGACTTTAAATATCAGGTTTCTTTTTTAAGGAGGACCTTGACCCCAATTATGCTTAAATATTAATGTATTTAATATTACCATTGCAATGAAAAAACATTTCAAGATTCTCTATTTTCTACATGTATAAGAATATATTATTGGGTCATACCTCAAGTGAAGCAAATGAAAATTTAAAAATGTTTATTTAAATAAA